AACATTTTACATTGGATTTCAGTCAAGTCCTGGGTTCCTATGAAATTGCCAAAAAAACAGTGGATATTCTTAGAAGACTTGTGTCGCAGACTAGGTGGAGCAATGCTGGGGAGATTATGGATATCATACGGAGGGAGGGGAGACGAATGATGGATGCTCAGCCATCAGAGGCTATTGTAGGAAATATGGTACGCAGAGTGTTGAAGATTGTAAGAGAAGAATATGCCAGGTGAGCTGAATAGTTGCTCTATTTGTAAATGTGCTTTAATGATTCATTTACAATACTGTATTTGTTGTATTACAAGGGCATCTCTAAGAGCAGCTCTAATAGAAGTGTACCAAAAATTTGTTCGTCCATATCCAGCCATATCTCACACATGCATGGACCGATCAAGTTCAAACTTCACAAATACATCAGGCATCCTATTAGACATATGCACATGCATTTGTTTCATGATCTAATTCAGGATGGCGGAATGACAGCAATTTTAATGCCAAAAATTACACATTTTTAGCAAAACCAGATCTTAGTTGTGTATGGACGAATTTTGTTCAAAAATCAGTTGTGTGTGGACAAATCTGGTTTAAACATGGTTCATAAACTTCACACATATGCACATGCAATGATTTTGTTTTATGATCTGATTCAAGATTGCCGAATAGCCGCCATTTTAATGCCAAAAATCAAATATTTTTAGCGAAACTAGATCTCAGTTGTGTATGGATGGGTTTTGTTCAAACTTGGTACATACATGTACATACAAAATTTGGACCATGATGCCCTTCATTTTAGTTTTCGAATTGGGTTGAAAATGACTGGCAACCATTTTTTTTAAATAATGCATATTCAATATTACTGGATCAATCAAGTTCAAACTTCATGTATACATGAGACATCATATCGGACAAACATCAAATCCAAAATGACTGACTGGCGGCCATCTTGTCGATCAACATTGTGGGTATCGCCTTGGTAGTCATGCAGTATTTTATGCCTATAACACAAACAGGGACTATGTCATTGACAATGACTTTTGTTTATCTGTGCCTCAAAACAATTCAGTTCATTGTGAGGTCTACTACTATTGGCCATGCACTGCTAGCTAAATTATTATACTACAACTCATTAATTATTCACTTGATTTAATTTCACCCACTAAATTATAAAACCATGTGATCTTGGCAAATTTTGTGAATGTAAGATTTAAAAGGCTAAAAAAAACATATACCAGTAAAAATAATTGCTTTCACAGTATTTTCATTGTTGCTTTCATTGTATTTGATTTCAGTGCAAGAGGGAAAGGTGAGGAAAACGATCCACAAGATTCACTTCATGTAAGTCAATCTAAACGCATACCGGTAATTAGGGATTAACCAGTATGTACCAGTACACTTGGTATAGTACAAACTGAATGAGTCCATTATCTAAAGTAGGGGAGGCTGGGGTTGTGATGAGAGGTGTCATATATTGAAAGTATGTGGTGCTAATACATGTATCATGAAAACACACGCTACGTTAACCTTTGAGGTTCCAAAGTCAACTTTTTTAATTTTTCACAAAAAAAAACATTTTTTTTTTTCAAAAATATTGATCAAAGTTCTGTAGCCAATACAAAATTATGTCTATCTGGTTCAAAATTAACAAAGAAATTACAGAAAAATGCATACAAAATTACAAAATGTAGCACCAAAGTTTTGGCGGGAAAAAATATGGCATAAATTGTTGGTTGTAATGTCAGCTCTATAAATAAACTGCAATTTTAATAAACTGCTGATTTGTTTGATTTTATTTTTTACCAGAAACTGTTGATGGCTGAAGACAAAACAGATGATTTTAGTTTGCCAAGTGTTAACCTTCTGGTAAGGATTATTAGGATACAAGAATGAGATAATGTTAATGGACAAGTCCATTTTTGGACAAATTCCAAATTGTTGATACTCTATGTTTGAGAACATCCATCTTTGAGAACCTTTATATTTTAACATATTTGAACATGTCCATATTTGGGCAAATCCATATTTAGAGACATCCAATTTTGAGCACATCCATATTTGAAGACCTCCATTTGATCACTTCCATATTTGGACAAATCCATATTTGAGCAAATCCATATTTGGAGACTTCCATTTGTGAACATCTCCATATTTGAACATCTTCATATTCACTACGTTCAATTACCCACCATAGACTCCGGTCAGTCAAAATGACTATTTTGAACTGTAGGCTTTAATCAGCGATTCTGCCAATGACGGAGAGATAGAATCCAGGTCAGGGGAAGCCCCATGACCTCAAGATTCTTTTACCCCTTACGTCACAAACCCACGTGACCGAGGCCACCTGGCAGCGCCACAGGTAGCCGTCCATCACTCTTATTTTCTCTCCGCCTCGAGTGGAGATGAAATCCATCAAGCTCTGCTGGATCGCCTGCTTTTTTTTTTCCTGTCCGGATTTATAGCTTGGGTTGTTGCCGCGGCACGGCATCTGACATTGTAGCTGGTAGGATAAGTTTTCCTTGTCATTTTTACCCTCGTGTCGTTTTCCCCTTTGTGTGTAGTATTTCACACAACAAAGAAATCAAAATCCGGCACCACTACGTAACCAGTTGGTTTTCATGGCGGCACCTTTTACAACTGTTATTCGTTTCCCTCATGCATGTCGTCTTTTATTTTCAATGTATTTAGCAATATATAGATGTAATGACAGCACCAGGGCTTGCTGCTGTTTTCTTTCCGGTCTCCTCGTGTTTCGAGTCGACCGTGCAGTGGTTATATTCAGAATTTACCAGCATAGAACCCGCATCCAAGATACTTTGTCGTAGCTACGTGCGGGTTTTGGGGTTTTTGCGTGAAAGCGCGTTTTTTTTTTTTCACTGGAGTTCTGAGGCCTGAGATTTTCTTTCAAAGCCATCAAAATCGCTGAGACTGACCGCGTCACAGCAAGGTCGCACGTCCAGTAAACAAATCAGTTAAAGTGTTTTGCATGAGTGGAAAATTCTCACGCTCGGCTACCGGTACTTCGTGTACCGGGACGGCGAGTAAAAGGCCCGACGGTGGAGGTACCGATACTTTTCTCGGTCTCCCCCGCTGATCGGAGGGCATCCTAACATTCTGTTTTTTTAGGCGGTGATTTACCCTATTTTACCGGCTGCAGCAAGGCTGTGCCCCTGGAGGCTTTCCTCCTATGGGGCCCGTTGCGGGTCTCTTTGTGGATCCTTCCTCGCACAGCGCCGGGTTTGCCTCCGAGTTGAGGGCTTTGGTCGAAGCACTGTGGGGCAATTGCGTCCCTGGCAGGCCGGGTAGATCAGACACAGTCGGAGCGAGCTGTCTCCACTGTGTCCCTTCGGTGGGCAAGCAGGAAGAGACACGAAAGCATGTTTGCATTCAAACACGTCTCTTCCGGGGAACCCCCATTCCCAGGCACGGCTCTCCCACTATTTTGGCGGGGGTGGCCAAGGCTCATGCTAATTGCACCAGCCCTTCTCTGGATCCTCGGGCATTGAATGCCAACGGGGTGCTGGCAGCCAAGTCTCCGATCTCGGGGCAGGGCTTTCAGGGCAGGGCACACGTTGACCCCCCTACTTTCAGCCAGCTAGGGTTCGTCATGTGGTAACGGTACAACGGTAATGAATTTTTCCTTGTGTCCGGTCCCCGCCGCTGTGGGTTTTGACTCCTTTCTTACCGACCCTGTCATGAGACGCACAGTCGAACACGCTCCCTCTCACATATTTAAATTGAAAGGAGATGCAGTTCGCTCGCGTCAGATACAGTCGGTACTCTGGGCGGTCCCTCAGAGTCTTCCATCTGTATGACTCAGTGAGCCACGTTTTTGGGGTGAGGCTGAGTATCATCGATCCCAGTGATACGATGTATATAACCCCACCCTTGATCCTAAAGTGACCACCTAAGGTTGCTTCAACGCTTATGGGATCACGGGCATCGGGATCCAAAGCAACCCTGTCGGCAAGTCTCTCCCTGTTCGCCTGAGTGCGGAGTGGGGCGCAGAGCACGCACGTGTTGATGTGCGGCATTGGTCAGCCGCGGAGGATGTAATGCTTAAGGCCCCCGAGTGGGGATAACATTAGGCAACACTTCCCACTGGACCAAACGCTACCCGGACGGTGTGGTTTCGGGATCAGACCCCATAGCGTGGGATGAGACCAAAACGCCCCCAACCGGATTCCAAGGCTCCTTCCCCAGACCCCCGATACCACGAATTTGGCAAACCGGGCAAAGGGGGATAGCCGCGTTCCATGGGTGTCTTTGCCAATTAAAGACGACCCATCCAGCCCTGAGGGCAGAGTTGCTTGAGCACATTGTTATGCGTGACCAACGCACCAGCCTCCTAGACCAGGCGACATTTTTACTGGTGGGCCACTGCACAGGGTACATCAGCCGGAACTAAGACCAGGCTTCTACCCAAATGTGTTTGTAGTACCAAATCTACAAGTGGCAGGCGTCCAGTTTTGGACCTAGGTAGACTGAATCAGTACGTGCTCCTCGATCGGTTCCACATGGAGACACCATTCAGGGTTCTTCTCTCCATCCACCGTTTTGACTGGCTAGCCCCGCTAGACTTAAGCGGGGCCTACCTGCACGTACCGATGCACCTAGCAAGTTGCCATCTCCTTCGAATCGCCCAGCTGGGCCAAGTATTCAAATTTCGGGTGCCCCCCCGTTCAGGTTAGGCACAGCGTCCTACGTGTTCACCAGAGTGATGAAACAGGTAGTGCTGCTGCTTCACCAGATGTCGGTACACCTCAATCCGTACCCAGACTTCCGGTTACCAACAACCCGGGCAAGGGGTAATAGCCAAATGCGTCAGGCTAACACGGGATTTACTTCACCAGTTGAGCTCGTTAGTAAATCGACAAGTCCCACCTCGACCCAACGCGCAGTTGGTGTACCTGGGCATGGAGTTTTGACACAGAGG